TAAAAGTGACTTAATACAGAGAACTTATCTTGTATTCTGTGTAGACTTTATATCTAGTGAAGAATGTTGATTACCTCAAAGTTATAAATGGTGGAATTTTAGGATTTAATGCTCTTTATTAAACTTGGCAAGGAACTTATTGTAGTTGTAAAGCATTGCATATTAATATTTTCTTGGCTAACTGTCTGTGGATGTGTTTTTACAGCTGTCTGGCTCGTAATTGTAAATGTTGGTTTCTTAAAACTTACTCTAGTTTTGCCCTAATTTGAACTTTTTATGCTAAATGTGGTCTTGTCCTAAACTTGAAAATGGATAGATATTTTATTTGGCAAAACTAGTTCACAGGTGTCCTTCGATATACAAATATTTGTTCCTGGAAATGCATTCATTAAGTGAAGAAAAAATATTGTAAAACCAAAGTATTATTGGGGTTATGTTCCTGTGAGGGAAAATGTTGGTCAACTGGGGTTTTTAGTTCAACCATTATTAATAAAGAATAAATAGGATGAACTTTGTAAAGGTACAGTAAATGACAAATGTCAGCACAACCTGGCTGACATGATGGCTAAGTTTGTATTCTTTGACAAAATTTTAACCAATTCTCTGAGTTGAATATAATTGTTGGACATTAGCCAAATAAAATATTAAGTGGGGTCCCTGTAGTGAAGGGGTGAATGCAAACGTTTACATTCCTATAAAGATAAAAGGGGCATCGAAATGGGATTTATTCATTGTTTGCTTTGTGTAGTGTAGACATTGTTGAAGCTTATCAGGCATATTTACTGTATATTGGGGGATACCCACATCATATTAATTACGCCGAAATAAATACACATTAATTACTTATGTTAAACTATATACCAAAGTAAATGGTCTCATAGTGTTCCTCACTACTTATGGACGATACTATTTTGACATACCATTTTTTTTATTAGTACTGTACAGAGTTAGTTAAAATGTTATTCATTTCAGGATGGTGACTTGAAGATGGGAGGGTGCAGGAAGTGATGACCAAAAGATGGTTTTCGTCTGGTGAACTGACTCTTACTGCACCGGAAACAATAAGAGGTCAGTACAGTACAGTACAGGGTATATATCTGATGGTGATTTCTTTACTAAAAGTCTTCATCAAGTAAATGTAGTCAATGGACTGCTGATTAATCCGTATCGGTAAGCATAGTATCGCTTTGACTAATCAGGGTTAGGTTAGGTTAGGTTAGGACTTTATCACGTGGGAGATCTGCTCAAGCCCAAGCGTTCGTTCTAGAAATATTCCTTGGCGTTATGGCTTCCTCGCGTGGCCGGTTAGTTTGATTGAATGAAAAACTAATACATCTGGCTTCACTTTAGCCTCCTTCATCGGTTAAGTAAGGTAAGATTTTGTAAATCTAGGCTCAAAAGATGTATTAAAACGAGGAGAATTTTTATCTTTTTTTTTTATTAAGTGAAGTTTGTTGTCGTGGTGGATCGGCTTCCACACGACCTCTTCTACACGACGGTGATTTTGCACGTCACTTACACGACCCGACACGACGCCCTGTACACATACCCAAACATTTGTGGTAACGTCGTATCGTCCAACACCCTGGGGGAGGACAACACCTGTCTCACCACCAGCCAGGGAGGACAACACTTGTTCTCGCCACCAGCCAGGGAGGGACAACACCTCTCACCACCAGCCAGGGAGGACCTTATTTCCACACTTACCAGCCAGGGAGGACAACACCTGTCTCACCACCAGCCAGGGAGGACAACACTTGTCTCACCACCAGCCAGGGAGGACAACACCTGTCTCACCACCAGCCAGGGAGGACAACACTTGTCTCACCACCACCAGGGGAGGACAACACCTGTCACACCACCAGCCAGGGAGGACAACACTTGTTCTCACCACCAGCCAGGAGGAGGAGGGAGGACAACACTTGTTCTCACCACCAGCCAGGGAGGACAACACCTGTATCACACCACCAGCCAGGAGGACAACACCTGTCACACCACCAGCCAGGGAGGACAGCTTACTTGTTCTCACCACACCAGCCAGGGAGGACAACACTTGTTCTCGCCACCAACACTGCCACCAGCCAGGAGGACAACACCTGTCTCACCACCAGGAGGACAAACACCCACCAGCCAGGGGGAGGACAAACACCTGTCTCACCACCAGCCAGGAGGACAACACCTGTCTCACCACCAGCCAGGAGGACAACACTTGTTCTCACCACCAGCCAGGGAGGACAACACCTGTCACCACCACCACCTCAGCCAGGGGAGTACAACACCTGTCTACACCACCAGCCAGGGAGGACAACACTTGTTCTCACCACCAGCCAGGGGAGTACAACACCTGTCACACCACCAGCCAGGGAGGGACAACACCTGTCTCACCACCAGCCAGAGTACAACATTATTCTTACCACCACAGCCAGGGAGGACAACACTTGTTCTCACCACCAGCCAGGAGACAACACCTGTCTCACCACCCAGCCAGGGAGTACAACACCTGTCTCACCACCAGCCAGGGAGTCTGTCAACACTTGTTCTCACCAGCCAGGAGGACAACACCTGTCACACCACCAGCCAGGGAGGACAACACGTTCCCACCACCAGCCAGTCTCACCACCAGCCAGGGTTAGTTGTTCTCACCACCAGCCAGGGAGGACAACACCTGTCACACCACCAGCCAGGGAGGGGACAAGCACGTCTCACCAGCCAGGGAGTACAACACCTGTCACACCACCAGCCAGGGAGGACAACGTCTCACCACCAGCCAGGGAGTACAACACTTGTTCTTACCACCAGCCAGGGAGATATTTTGTCTCACAAGCACCACCTGTCTCACCACCAGCCAGGGAGGACAATGTCACACCACCAGCCAGGAGGACAAACACCACCAGCCAGGGAGGGACAACACTTGTTCTCACCACCAGCCAGGAGAGGACAACACCTGTCACACCACCAGCCAGGAGGACAACACCTGTCTCACCACCAGCCAGGGAGTACAACACTTGTTCTCACCACCAGCCAGGGAGGGCAACACCTGTCACACCACCAGCCAGGGAGGACAACACCTGTCTCACCACCAGCCAGGGAGGGACAACACCTGCTCCCTACCACCAGCCAGGAGGACAACACTCCATCTCACCACCCGCCAGGGACAACCTTGTTCTCACCACCAGCCAGGAGGACAACGCCTGTCTCACCACCAGCCAGGGGAGGACAACACCTGTCTCACCACCAGCCAGGGAGACAACACCTGTCACACCACCAGCCAGGGAGGGACAACACTTGTTCTCACCACCAGCCAGGGAGGACAACACCTGTCTCACCACCAGCCAGGAGGGACAACACTTGTTCTCACCACCACTTGCCCAGGAGGACAACACCTGTCTCACCACCAGCCAGGGAGGACAACACTTGTTCTCACCACCAGCCTCACCACCAGCCAGGGAGGACAACACCTGTCTCACCACCAGCCAGGGAGGACAACACGTCTCACCACCAGCCAGGGAGGACAACACCTGTCTCACCACCAGCCAGGGAGGACAACACGTCTCACCACCAGCCAGGGAGGACACACGTCTCACCACCAGCCAGGGAGGACAACACCTGTCTCACCACCAGCCAGGGAGGACAACACGTCTCACCACCAGCCAGGGAGGACAACACCTGTCTCACCACCAGCCAGGGAGGACAACACGTCTCACCACCAGCCAGGGAGGACAACACACTATATACAGTATCACAGCCGTCCACTTATAGTAGAAAAAATTAAACGTTACAGTCACAACATAAAGATGTACACCATATTTACACTATGTACGTATATATACTCCTGTGTACGGATATACGTCTTCCTGTGTACGCATATACGTCTTCGTGTGTACGCATATACGTCTTTCTGTGTACATATTTACGTCTCCCTGTGTATGTATATATGTTTCTTGTGTACGTTTATATATATATTCCTGTGTACGTATTTGCATTATTCCTATGTATACAATTACACTGTTTCTATTTATATACACACATTCTTACTTTCTTAACGCCGGGTGATGTGTCCGGACGACCACCACAAGTACCAACGTGTACACACTTGTTTCACACAATAATAGTGAACATGTGGGCCTAAAAAGTACACATTCTCAGTGATAGTGTACACCCGATCACCACAAGTACACATGCGCACACATTTATTTCATTGGTTTTGTTGGTGTACACATGACCACCATATGTACGCACATGTACAAATTGGAGTACTCGTGACCATCAGTGGTACACATATGTACAATTTGGTGTATGCATGACCAGAAGTACACACAAATGCAAATTGGAGTACTCATAGCCATTAGACGTACACACATGTACAATTTGGTGTACACGTGACCACCATAATTACACACACTGATATAATTTTCTCACCAAAATGGTGATATGACGTCACCAATGTTGTCACGATGTCATCAGTGCTGCCATGACGTAACTGCTGCTATGACGTCACCTGCTGCTATGACGTCACCTGCTGCTATGACGTCGCCTGCTGCCATGACGTTATCTGCTGCTATGACGTAACTGCTGCTATGACTTCACCAGCGCTACCACGACGTAACCAGTGCTACCATAATGTCACCAGTACTGCTATGACGTCACCAGCACTACCAGGACGTCACCAGTGCTACCATAATGTCACCAGAACTGCTATGACGTCACCAGCGCTACCAGGACGTCACCAGTGCTACCATAACGTCACCAGTACTGCTATGACGTCACCAGCGCTACCAGGACGTCACCAGTGCTACCAGGACGTCACCAGTGCTACCAGGACGTCACCAGTGCTACCAGGACGTCACCAGTGCTACCACGACGTCACCAATGCTGTATCAGGGCGATTAACTTTGTTTATTATTAATTCTTTCTATTCAAATTGGGCCTTATTACACTTCCTTGCGTCAGCACGAGCGATCATCAACGTCTGGCGTAAACCGGGGGAATAATAATAACGA